ATCCCTTTAATGATCGGGGTTTTCATTCCTTTCCTTGTTCTATCCCACTGTTACGGTGTCCATGTCAGTAGCTACTGAGAGACCATTTAAATATCAGGTTTAAGCAATTACTAACCAGTTTATGGGTGTGTTTAATTTCAGGAGACTTAGGGTCTTTTTCATGGTTAGTCTTTTTAATTTTTACTTCTAATTGTTCATCCATATGCTTTCAAAACCCCTAAGGAGGGGTATCACAGACAACAGAGATGGAAAAGGCCTATTAAGTTACATTATCTAGGTCATTCCCTCAGTGTATTCCATGAAGTATATTCTCAAGTGCTTTCTCCAGATGCTATATATGGAAAAGAAAAATATTGTACAGGGTGTGAGTTATTGTATGTCTTTTTTTTCACTAAATATTTAATATCCCCGCTTCCTTGCTACTGCAATATAAATAACAATAATAGTTGTTTGAGATGGTAGTTTTTAGCATTCTCTGAATCAGGAATTGAAAATTCCTCACATCTGAGGTTTGGGACTTGCAACATTAAGACTTGCAAAGGTGCCAATAAAACATTGTTAGACCCAAGGACCAATAGCAGTTTAAAGGTCTAATATCTTGCAAACTGACAGAATTAGAAACAAATGTTTGGTAGATTTCGTAGGCTGTGCCAATGACATAATTGCAAGATTTTCCAACTCTGGAACTTTGTGAGATATCGTATCTTGAAACTATGTGATTCTGATTAGCATAATACTTTTTGTTCTTATTTGAATTCCAACATGATTTTAGCAGTCACTATCTTGAGAACTGCCAGAATGCAAACACTATGCTTTAATACCATCTAAAGCTTGGCTCCTCACTTTTAAATTGTACAAACCACTAATAAGTTTAGTAAGACACAGGCTACTACAACTATGTCAGAACTGAAGTGGGGAAAAGTACACGATGCTACTTAGAACAACATGATGTAAAGGTCTGTTATGTCATAATCTGCAAGGCTTATAAACTCTTTCATAAACCAGAATCCATTTTTTCAGGAGCAATAAGCAGTCAGTCCTCGGCAACTGATAACAAGGAATAACTAAGAAATGAACAAAGGGTCTGGTCATACCCCCTTGATCCATGCATAGAGAAGAGCTCCGTGTGTAGATATGTCCCGGGCCATGTAGTGGCATGAGTAGGAATTATCTTCTTCCACACCACGATCCACTCTGTTCCTATACCAACAGAGATCCCTCTGCCGGTTCAGGGATCTGAATGTGGACAGAGGGCAGGGCAGAATACACATCTTTCCCCTTCTCAACCACACGGGACATCCAGAAGTAAAGTACTCTGAGCCTGAACAGTCCCCTATGTGTCCAGAGGCAGCTGTTGAGAGGAGAAACCTTGTCAGTACAGGTCAATCCAGAGGAGAACAGGTGGGAGCTGAGAAGCAGTAAAGGTACAGGGTCTCATGTGGATTCTCTGAGACCTGAGCATATCTTGAGGGATCTGTGAGGTTCAGGGACCAGTCTCTTCACTTCTTATGTTGGAAGGAGGGGGCAAATCTTTCACCCACTTAAATATTCTGAGGAAAAACAGCCTTGAAGGGAGCCTCATCAATTTATCCTTCCCCCTTTCTATGTTTGTGGTGGGGGTTTCTGCCACGTTGGCTCAATCAGGCTGTCAGTTAATTCATCCTGATGAGGACAGGCAACAAAAACTCAACTATAACCTTTATTTTTGTTTCACACAGCCTCGCGTTTTGTAGTTTGGTGCCTTCTCTGGTATCTGGCAAAGAGGACAATGGGGAGAAAAAAGACAAAAGGAAACAAATGTTTCTTCTCATATTTTTATTTGCAGTTGTACTTTAAAAAGAGGACAGTCAGCGCTTCATGAGTTAAAGAACTGGAACAGATGTCTGGTAATAGGAAAAAAGTACAGAGGAGGGGGAAATTAAATAAGATCTCTTGCAAGAATAGCTTTACTATCTCTGGAGGTTATAAGAGCAATCATGTTCCTTTGAGCAGCTGATGGAGGACATCATTAAAATGTAGGCACTCCTTTGGAAGAGAACTTTCAGCTTGATTCAGTCATTAATAGGCACTAATGCTGGATTATGCCTGTATGAAACAGAAAAGAAGAAAAATCTGGTTCACTAAGTCTGACTCTCCTAAACCTTAACTAAAGGAATCCTTTCAAATATTCTCCAGCTTATTAGAAACATAAAATTCTATTGGGTCAAGCTGCTTTAAGAAACGCATCACACTACACTAGGCAACTGATGAATCATAGCATGGGCTGTTTGGGGTATGCTGTGTGGATATATGTCTTCTTCATTTTTAATGTCTAGTCATGGTTGACTATCCAGTCCAAAAATAGTGGAGTGCATAGGCTGCCCTTTAAAACTTAGCTGCCACACAATATGACTGTTGCTTCATGTTCTATCTTGTAGGCACGCATGCGATAATGTAGTGTAGGAAGACTAGGGCTCAATGAACCATGGAGGTTTAGTTCACAGAGGGGATGATGAACCAAATCCTATAGTTTGGTTTGAAAGGTTGGAAGTGCTTCAGGTTTGCTTGGATGTTTGGTTCTGATTAACTTGAACTGTCAAGGTGTTAACCCCATGGGTAGCCCCCTTCCTCACCTACCACTGATGTCTCTCCTAACAAGCCCCAGGACCTCACTTTCTTTCCTTAGGTATCTTCAGAGGGTGAGGGGACCCTGGGATTTGTTAGCGAGAGAAAACAAGAAATATCAGTTCGGGGGAAGGGAGGTGCACCAGCATGCCAGCTGTGCTAACTTCACCCCATGTTCACTGAACGTTTGTGGGCTAGTCACAGAAACAAAACTTGAATTCCTGTCTCAGTTTGAATCAGTCTGACATTGGATGGAGATATTTTGCACAGATGTCTCTATTAAGGAGAAGATGAGAGACAGTTCAGTATAGTTCTGACAAAAGGAAGGAAAATCTCAGTTCTAACATTTGCTGTAACTAAAGGTACGTCTTCACTTACATCCGGGTCCGGATGTAAGCAATCGGTTTTCTGAGTTCGATTTATTGCGTCTGGTTAAGACGCGATAAATCGATCCTGGATCGATCCCGGAAGTGCCCCGGATCGATCCCGGAAGTGCTCGCCGTCGACGCTGGTACTCCAGCTCGGCGAGCGGAGTACGCAGCATCGACGGTGGAGCCTTCCTGCCGCGTCTGGACCGCAGTAACTTCGGACTAAGGTACTTCGAATTCAGCTACGTTATTAACGTAGCTGAATTTGCGTACTTTAGTCCGAAGTGGGGGGGTTAGTGTAGACCAGGCCTTAGTACCCAAAGGAAATATTTTGAAACCCTATTTAGATGAAAGGAAGATGCTTACATGACATCTTCTCTGTAATACCTCCAAACTCCATTGTTTAAAAGTACATCTGAAAGAATGCAGACCTATATAATCTTTCTTTCCCATGGGATTCTAGTAGGGTAGAGGCCTGACGTACCCTTAGAACAGTGGATCTCAAACTTTTTTTTTTCACAGACCACTTGAAAATTGCTGAGGATCTCGGCAGACCACTTAAGGATCTTTCCAAATGGTGTTTGTATCATTAGCTAACTGTTGTAAAGCGCATTGGATAAAAGCGCTATATAAAAAAAACAATAATAAACTTTTTTGTTCTACAAATAAAAGCACACAACTCATATTTTAATATCAGTAGTCTTACCTTTCTAATGCGATGGATGTGCCCTCTCTCCCCAACCATGGCAGCCCCCAAGCTGGGGCTGGGAAGGAGGGGGGTCTCTCCCCCGCCACAACAACCACAGAGCTGAGGCTGGGAAGGAGGTCCGTCGCTCCCTGGCAGCCTCAGCCCTGGAGCTGGGGAAAGTTGCCTCTTTCTCTGGCCACCGCAGCCCTGCACACCCCAAATTCTACCCACCCCCTCTTCTCACCCCACTTCCCCCTCCCACCTACCTCCTATTTCCCCCCCCCGCACCCAAAGGCCACCACCTCAACTTACATGTGCATCTTCTCCAGGGTCCAGGCATCTAATTAGTGGAGCCACGCCTGCACAGCTCCACTAGTTAGGTGGGTGGCCCTTCATTCTCTTGTGTGCGGCCACTCAGGCGCGCATCTTAGAGGGAACTATCCGCGGATCACCTGAATGGAGCTCGCGGAGCACTGGTGGTCCATGGACCACAGTTTGAGAACCTCTGCCTTAGAAGTTGTGCTTTTTAGTGAGCTAACAAAATATTGGATAACTTGTTAACAATAGAGTGAGAGACAAAGTCATAGTCCATTAACATATTGGAAGATAAAATAAAAGTCTATTTTAAATATAAAAAAAATGCTGCTTTGTCTCAGGTACTGTCATGTGGTAGCGTGGGTAAATGCTTACTTTTCAGTGGTGATCACTATATGTTTGCAGATATCTTTAAGTCAGATTTCTGAATTTTAACATTGTTTTATACTGAAGTTCACCTTTAATTTAGCAACTTTTGCCCATCAGAGCTCAATTATTTCTGTCTGACTTTGCAATAAAGCCACAATCCTTTATTGCAAAGTGATCACATTAACAGAGTACAATCCAGTGTTAGTATTAGGAGTTCATTGCTTCAGCTGATAAAGGACATGAACTGTGGAAAAGCCTGCCACCTACATTTCATTTATATGTAGTTTCCACGGTTTTCTCTAAAGAAGTAAGGGAAATATTTATTTGGGAAGTAGAAAGCTAATAAACTTTCCTTTCCATGCCTGGCACAATTATAATTTGATTTAACTATGAGTACAGCGTTCCACTGTAACATTTATTCAAAAATTGCTATCAACCCTCTTGAGTGCAAATATTAATATGGAGAGGAAAATTTGCAAATATATTACCAATTTCCTTTACTATTTGGACTAAAGAGACAGTCATTTCCCATATTAAATAAAGTTAAAATTAATATGTTTTGTAATTTTGAGAATATATTAGAAAATGTAACAACCTAATATGAACTCTTAAATCTTTTAGTAATATAGGTAAGCATATTCACCACTGAAGAATTCTTAAATAGACACACAAAGTGTGCCTGGGTGCACTGCCTCATATTTGCAAACAGTGTTGTCCATCTGAGTTGCAACAGGATTCTGTAAGGTAGCATTAAATGTTCTCTTCAGGACAGTGTCTTTAAACAATGGGCTTAGCTGTGGAGACATAAATATATGAATTTCAGTCAGATCAACAGTAAGCATACATGAGCAGAATTCTATAATAATCTTGCTTATATACTTCCTAGGAAAGAAAGTTTCTGCTTGCCAGAAGAGACTGCTTCCTCCGATACAGGTTATCCAAAGCTCCTGTATGGAAAAGCACTCAACCTTATCTACTACAGCTAAGAATACCTTATTACACTGTGCCATTTTGAATTATTGAGCTATAAACAGTGCTGGAAACTGCAGGTGCGCTCAGCACCACTGAAAATCAGGCAAGTTATTTAGATGCCGACATATGCATGTAGGACCATAAGTTTAGGAAACTTTTTAAAGAAAAATTATGGGGCATGATGATGGAAGTCTTAGTAGTATGAGTCAAGGGAAGGAGGAAAGAACAGAAAACAAGAGGGAAAGGAATGCTGTGTTTGGAGATGATTTTTTTCCAAGATAACAATCATTTACATTTGTGTTTCAGATTTTGTTTAGTTTTTACTCTTTTTTTAATTGTATTTATTTGTTAGCTATTTCATGATCAGTCACAGGGGTAAGAGTAGGGAAGCCAGCAAAGAGATTAACAAATTTAAAGTAAATGCACTTTCTTGGGTTTAATATACAAAAATAAAACCATTCTGGAGACTGCTGACACACAAGTCTTTTAGGGAGTCTTGACTACTTTTTAGTAGCTGGATGTCCTGGCTATTTGCATAATATAGAATTGAGCTATGGACTGGACCTATGAACATCACATCCCCACCATCTTGAAAGGCTCCCTTCTCATTATGATCCTCCCCTTGGAAGTTTACAGCTGAATGCAGTCCATCAACAACCCCAGATGCATTGATCAGAGAGGGCTGCTGGAAAGTGATATTGTTTGAGGTCCTCTTTCCCCCGCAATCCTTGAGTCTGCTGTGCTTTTTCCACATTTTTAAGTCCCATCCTTTTTGACATTCTTAAGCCTCAGGCAGTCATGGGACCTCAAGACAAGCTTGTGAACTGAACTCACGTCAGCAGGCTGTGCAGCATCTAGGTTGCGAGGTGGCCCATTCAAGACCAATGACCTTAACTGATTCACATTTCCACTCAGTACACACCCACATACCCCAGGTCAGCAAACAAAGGAAGTAGATGTGCCTGACCTTTAGAAAACAGGAGAGATTTTACTGAAACCAACCCTAACTTTACAGAACAAATAAAAAGAGCCTCCTTAGAACAGTCTGTAGGAGATTCTCCTGAATGTTTCTGGACAACCTCCTCAACCCAGACAGAGGAAACAAACTGTTATATCATGACAAGGGTGGAAAGAAGTTTGTTATCCTTTTGGCACTTTTCAAACTTGATCTGCTTGCAGAAAAACATAAGAAAGTCCTGAATTATCCTCTCTGGAACTGTATGTGAGCGCTAAGGTCTTGATCCTGGAAGGTGTTAAGTGCCGACTCTCATTAATGATGTCCAGAGCACGCTTTATAGGATTGCCCCCCCTCCATATTTCTTTCTCACGGGCAGCCAACTTCACAAGGAGTTTTATGAAGGTCCATCAGTAGCGAGAATACATTTGAATTTTAGTCTGATATCAAAGTATCCATGATGACAGCACAATTCAGATGTCCCCGAAAGAATACAAAAACTTATGTTTATTTAAGATGTAGTTTATATTCATTTCTTTTTATTTACTTTAAAATGGAAATTTCCCTACTTATAAAGTATGAACTTTTCAACATATTTTAATTTCCATGACAATTCAGTCATTAGCACCGCTGCAGAGTATCAATAAAGGTGCCCATTATGGTCATTTTTGCTACGTGAACACCTGTCCACTAGCAACTGGGACTAAGACCAGAAACTCATTTTACATAGGCCACTGAATAACCATTAGATGATAACGACTTTTAGTCACTACCAACCTGAGTCAGATAGGAGCTGGTGACCTGGAGGTAAAAAGCCCTAGATCACATTACCAGTCCTTTGATCCTTCCTGCTCCCAAGAATAGCCGGTTCCAATCTCTACTTTTTACTGGGCCTTAACCACTGGATATGCATAATAGAACTAGCCTTCAATGATCACAGATTTATTTATCATGCAACAATTCTCATATGAAATCTCAACTGACTGCTAAGTGAAGTATTAAAAGAATTCAGTGTTGGCACAAAAGCTTTTAGAAGCAAAAAAGATCATGCTTAAGAGGTTTTTCTTTAATCCATAAAAAATGTCTGCATTAAGTAAAAAACAAAAACTAAAAAAATAAATAAAAACAATATGGATTATATTTTTAAATCCCCAAAGACAAAAGATGGAAAACATCCCTCTGAATGAAAGGAAGAGATTTGGTTAATGTTGTTTTTCAGCCTCTGATCAAAGAACAGTATCATTTTTTGTTGGAAAAGTGACAGAGGTTTCTTCTAGCATTTCTCAATCCTAGAAGATTTCCCAGAAATACAGAAAAAACTCTCATCTCTTTCTTTGCCTACTTTTAATATATCTTGATTTAACTTTCAGGCCATCATTAAAAATCATACAATTTTGTCATTTTCAAGCCTCGTTTTTAGCAAGCAGTTTCTCAGCCTTTCTGTTCTTCCACACCGAAGTGTCTGTCTGCAATCACACAGTAATTTTTAAGACACACACAAAAAAAGTGACAACAGTGCTACTTTTTTTTCCAAAGTACATATATAACCTATGGTAGTAACAATTGTTCATAGTATTCTCTCCCTCTTTGCCTCTAGCTCTAACTGAAGGTTGTTCAGATGAGCTCCTGAGGTCCCACCAACATTTCTCTGTGGTGTGGGAGTGTCTTGTAGAGTTACCTTTCTGTTGACATAAGAAGATTTTTTGAGACCTTATACAATGCATTTTTATTTTGCTACACTCTGTTTTATTGGAGAAGGCACAGGTACAAACCAAGGAAAGAAACAATTGATATTATACATCAGAGCAAAACATTCCAAACAGAGTACGCATAGTGAATAAACAGCAATATTTTAATGCAAATAAATAATACATGAGAGGGTGTGAGGTTATTATATGATATACTATACACACATCTCAGATGCATTGTGAAGTTGATTGCTTCCATCACCCAAGACATATATTTATTATAAGACACTGTCATCATGTCTTCAGGAAATGATTATTGGGCTGCAACATAGTTAATTAGCCAGAACACTAAAATAACTAAGACCCCGTGAATTTGACTGGCTAATTAATTAATCAAAACCAAGTAAACATTATATTATAACCTTACATCCTGTATGTCGCAGCTATGTAATTCACAATCTTCATCAGCCACTCAGATTGTTCCTTTACTGTAAACCATGAAAGGAGTATATAAACTAAATGAAAAGTAGACTTGCTAATGACTTTATTAAGGATGGAGCTACTCAGTACTTAGTTCAGCAGAATTCATATGAGTATTCTTTATCACATAGGTAGTCCTTTTGAACTATGTCTTCAAGTCATCAAGGCCTGATGAAATACATCCTAGAATACTCAAGGAGGTGACTTAGGAGATATCTGAGCCCTTAGTGATTATCTTCAAAAACTCATGGAAGATGGGAGAGATTTCAGAGGACTGGAAAAGGACAAATATGGTGCCAATCTATAAAAAAGGCAACAAGGACAACCTGGGGAATTATAGACCAGTCATCTTAACTTCAGTACCTGTAAAGATAATGGAGAAAATAATCAAGCAATCAATTTGCAAACACCTAGAAGATAAAAGTGGTAAGTAACAGTCAGCATGGATTTGTCAAGAACAAATTGTGTCAAACCTACCTAATAGCTATCTTTGACAGGGTAACAAGCCTTGTGAATAGGAGGGAGATGGTAGATGTGGTATACCTTGACTTCAGTAAGGCTTTTGATACAGTCTTGCATGACCTTCTCATAAACAAACTAGGGAAATACAACCTAGATGGAGCTACTATAAGATGGGTGCATAATTGGATGGAAAAACGGTCCCAGAGAGTAGTTATCAGTGGTTCATAGTCAATCTGGAAGGGCATATTAAGTGGGATCTTGCAGGGATCATTCCTGGATCCGGTTCTGTTCAATATCTTCATCAATGATTTAGATAATGGCACAGGGAATATACTTACAAAGTTTGCAAATGATACAAAGCTGAGAGGGGTTGCAAGTGCGTTGGAGGATACGATTAATATTCAAAATGATCTGGACAAACTGACGAAATGGTCTGAAGTATAGAGGATGAAATTCAATAAGGACAAATGCAAAGAACTCCACTCAGGATGGAACAACCAATTGTACATATACAAAATGGGAAATGACTGCCTAGGAAGGAGTATTGCAGAAAGGGATCTGGGGATTATAGTGGATCACAGGCTACATGTGACACAACAGTGTAACACTGTATCAAAAAAAGTTAACATCATTTTGGGCTATATTAGCAAGAGTGTTGTAGGCAAGATGTGAGAAGTAATTCTTCTTGTTCTACTTCATGCTGATAAGGCCTTATCTGGAGTCATGTGTCCAGTTCTGGGCATAACATTTCAGGAAAGATGTGGACAAATAGGAGAAAATCCAGAGGAGAGCAACAAAAATTATTAAAGGTCTAGAAAACATGACCTATGAGGAAAGATTGAAAACATTGAGTTTGTTTAATCTGGAGAAGAGAAGACTAAGGGGAAACATGATAGTTTTCAAGTACATCAAAGGTTGTTAGAAGGAAGATGATGAAATTTTGTTTTTGTTAAGCTCTAAGTATAGAGGATGAAATTCTCTATATTCTATATATAGGACAAGGGGCAATGGGCTTAAATTGTGGCAAGAGAGATTTAAATTGGACATTGGGAAAACCTTTGTCACTGAAAGGGTAGTTAAGCACTTGAGTGAATTGCCTACGGAGTTGTGGAATCTCTGTCATTGGAAGTTTTTAAGAACAGGTAGACAAACACCTGTCAGGAATGGTCTAGTTATTACAGAGTCCTGCCTTGAGTGCAGGGGACAGAACTAGATGACCTTTTGAAGTCCCTTCCAG